ATTTAATACATTCAGTGGTTTGGATAGTGACCAGATAGAATTATTTTTTTCCTAACTCTGCGAATCTGAAAACGCTTAGAATTCTTAACGATTTCCGTAAAAGTAAACTGGAAAAAATGGTGAAACAGTCTACTGCTTTCATCCTTAAAGCTCTACGGTAGAGAGCAGTTCAGAACTTAGACCGCTAAATTATCTGTCAAACATCCATTTTGAATTAATATCCCTTATTTTTGTCTTTACAGAAAATCTACAAAACTTATACAATATGCGAAACAGAAATGAATTCACGGTCAAAGGTTCCTGTTAATACTGGAAATAAGCATTTCGACAAATTTTCAAATCAGTGAATGAAGGTCTTCAAATCTCCAAAGTCAACCGGATTGTTTTGATTGCTTATCTGTGCAAACTGTTATTGTTGCATAATTTAACTGAATAATTTATTTACTAGCTGTTCACCAGTTAAATTTTCTTCTGTTTAAATTCTCAATGTTACATCACCAACTCCACAAATACTACGCATATACTTTCCAACAAAAAAAAAAACAATAACTGCAGAATGCAAGAGCTCAATAAAACCTCCCCACTAAACTAAACAAATAGACTGTACTTCAGCGGAATAAAACTGTAAATTCATATGTTCCTTCGACAACTACCTTCCCAGTCTTCCCTCCCCTAATCTAACTCCAGAAAAATTAAACTATTTGGCTAAAAAAGATCTGTATTGATATCCCTAATTAAAGCTGCAAAAGCCTTAATGTGGTGACAGTTTAAAGCCACAAAAGCCAAAAAATGGTACCTAATTGCTTCTTCCAGCCGCAGTTGACAAATAATGAATTAACAATAACTTTATTAGGTTTTAAAGGCCATTATAAACAATACTTGCGATCAACAACTATCGGAAAAGATAAAATGACAAGCAACAAAGAGACAAAGAAATGATGTAACCTTGTTAACTTAGAGAATGAACCATAATCACTGAAATGAGATTATCATAACAAATAACAACAACCCGCTCCCTCTCCCCTCCTATTTCAGTAAAACTCGACAAGGGCAAGTACATCAGTACCATAAAAACCAAAAAATGTCATCAAACAGTTCGACCGACGGAACCATCTTAAAAAAAGAGCAAGAAAAAAGATATGAAATAAGGCCCAAAGTATGATCAGCAACTAAATCCTGGACATCTCGTGCAGACCGTGAACATGACAAACTCCAAAATGCAACTACCAATAAATAAACACAAGTGCTAGATCAAGCGTCCCCAACTCGTTCAAATTTCGGATATTTGCCCTGTACATCTGCCCAAGTCATCTTTCCAGCACACAATTCCGACACGACAGACGCAACTTCGCTAACCTAAACAAAAAGGAAGCTAATAAATAATGGTCCCCCAGACGATCCGTAACAACTTGTCGCCGGTAAATCCTAATTTAACTACTGCATACAATAAATACTACGCTTGTTAATCTGACAAAATACCAATAGAATACTGGCTTTTTTTGTACAGAAACACTTTAAAACCCAAATCAAATAAGTAGAAAAAATAAATTTTTTGAAACTGCCTCAAACACATTGAATCGAAAAAATCTGCGCAGAAATATATTTGATGTTTATCGCCATATGATGACTAAAACTTAAAAAAACCTAATAATAAAATTAAAAATGTCTTCCTAAAGGTGGTGGAGGTGCAAGTAAGAATTTAGTTATCTAAAATAACTAAAATATTTCGACGAATATAAGTGCAAATAAACCTTGTATATAGAAGTTACAAAATTTTTTATTCTCTGAATTTAGAGGTGTCACATTATAATTTTCTAATAATTAAAAAAATCTTCTTTTAGGCTTTCTTCTAGCCGAACCGAGAAGATTGTAAAAGACCAAACAAAAAATGCAAAGTTTTCAAAATGCAAATGAAGCACTTTTTTGAAGTCAAATTAAGTTTCTAGTTCCACATCCTCTTAAAACATCATCCTCTACCAAGGTGGTTTTAAAAGTGGTAGTGACTAGGCGGTCCTATTATTCTTGCTTCTGCACAACTGCCGCTCGAACGCTCTTTGACACTACAACACTACATTTTACTCTTAACTACAAAGTGCACTCAGTGTTAGCAATTTTTCACAACAACCACTATTTACTATCGTACAGTCCTTCATCTACCATTTGCAAAAAACCAACATCACACACAAATCAATAATTGAAAAAAAACTACTTTTATTAATTCTCATCTGCTTATCAATTACGCATTTTTTTTCCTCACAAAAAACTGGCTATGAAAGAAAAGTTGGTGCTTACATTCAATCTCACTTGTTCCATCGTTAAAGCATATCTTAATGTAACAGTCCACGGTTCCACCTCAGATTCGAAATCAACAGTAATGCCAAATGGAATTCCTATCTCATCCGTTCGTGCGTATCTCCTCCCAATCGATCCAGCGCTGTCATCCTTAAAAAAATAATTATTCTTTCTCATCACCGCTAAGAGCCTTTAGCATTACACACGGGTACTAATACACAAGCAAACAAGATAGGCTGCTGCAAACTTGTTTGTAAGAAATTGCGTGAGTCATCAGTTCATCTCGAATCGTTTCAAGTATTCGTTCAAACCGCACATTCGCTGATATCGGTAATATTGAACATTTTATAGGAGCTATTTGAGGAAGAAGAGCCAAGAACTAAAACAGCACAAAATAAAAAAGTTTGATCATACTACAAAAATAAATAAGGAATCAATGACTAACAGTACGCTGTTCATCACCCTCTCGCTCCCGAAAAGCGTGCTCTAAAATGGCATACATTATGCGTCCCACTCCAAATGAGGGTTCAATGACAGACGGTGTAATTTCTTCTACATGAACCTGAATTTGTCAAAATTGGATTAGTCAGACATCAAACTTTCAGCAATCTCCGATTGAAAACAAAATCCTAAGAAATTCTTTCTACTAATTGTTTTCTTAACTACACATGCCACATTCTTCTTAGTTGCCCTGTCATTATAATAAAAACATTTACAATACAACATACAAAAAATGCACTATTCCTTGCCAAATTAGGTAAAAATATTAGAAATAAAAGAATACCTTCTTCTCATGTGATTTCACAACGACCATATCGCTAGTAAGATTAAAGTCTTTACCGCCACAGTTCATTTTCACAGAACTGAAATTAAAAAAACCAGAAAAGTCATAATTTTAAAAAAAGTAGAATGAGCCAAACACCATTTTTACTTTGCTTCAATATTAATAAATTTCACTGATATATGAATGATGCAAATACCAAACAGAACAGGTACTGGCCAGAAAAATACAAAATCACTAACCCAGACTTCGCCAACTTTTCTTCCAAAGATTTTACCTCAGCCTCTTCCATAGATGACAAAGCACCAATTATCTGTAAAGAAAAGCAAAAAAATAAAAGACACATGAAAATAAACCACTCGAAAAAGCACATAAATCCTTAAATTTACGAACCATACACCCCAAGCTAGGTACAACAAACCAGTTTAGCATCTCCTTTGAATGCTTTTCCAATTACTGACTTATTTGGAATCGCTTCAACCACGTTTACTGTTTTGGGTTCAGGAAGTTTCTTTTCGCCCGTCAGTTTTACACCGGTAGCCTTATAATGCTGCTGCAAATCATAACAAGACCTATCAGCATTTCCAACGCATTCGATCCATCCGTATGATGTATAGACTTCAGCATCCCAACAATCCTGCAAACAAACAGCAAAAAATACGCTTAAAAAACAAGAATAAAAAGCTGCGAGGAAATGTTCAAAAAATAGAACCAAAAGCAAATTACGCCTGGAAAAAGAAAAAATTAAAGCTATTAGGAAATAGTTGAATTATTTTTAAAAAACCTTTTCTCGTCACTTGGTTTACCAATGATTATTTTAACATCATCTAACCCATCAATTAAAAGTCCCTTACTTACTATACCCACGTCCTAAAAAATAATAATAGCTCAAATAATAACATTTCAAGAAAAAGAAGATTAATCAAAAAACAAATTTGAATGAGAAGAGTTCTTACACAAGCATAATGAGCCATTTCATTGGATAAATGCTGACGAAAACGAAGTTTATTTGGGTCAATCCCGACTTTGATAAGAAATTGATGCACTCGAGCCATGTAATACCCAAGAGTTTCATTGGCGATTATTTTCTAAAGGAAACAGTTGAACATAAATTGCAAAGACTAGTCAATACATCTTTGAGATGGTTCAAAAAACTACTTTTTATTTCAAAGAGGTAAGTATTAACAGGCTGATACCTCCCCAACTGCATCTCCTATAGTTGTCTCTTGCGCCGACTTACCGTCCATTTGATTACAGGCAGAAAACAGCAATACTTTATAGTCTCTGACTTTAGGAAATTTAGGATGCTGTTTGTTATTTGGATCCACAAAGTGTTCTATCTCGCACATTTCAAATTCGCGAACTCTAATCAAGCCTTGACGTGGAGAAATCTCATTCCTAAATGCATGACCTATCTGAGCAGCAACAAATGGAAGTTTCCCCTGTAAATATCATTATTACGTGTACATAACAAAGATATGCTTGTTATAGTAGATTTAATATACTTGGTAAGCTTTAAATAAAGTAATTAAGTAAACTAGACCTTAAAAAAATAAAGTTTCTACACGCAGCAAAAAATAGACAAACCTGGTTGAATTCCAACAATCGTTTAAAGTTGACAAAAATTCCTTGTGCAGTTTCCGGTCTTAAATAAGCTTTAAATTCACCTGTTGGTCCGATAACAGTAGGGAACATTAGATTAAATGCGATTGGTTCTGTTAAGTCGTTTCCTGTTATAGGAGACTTGAAACCGTACTAAAAAACTATTTTGCAAAAATTGCTTGAGTTTACTAACCTACAGATTTAACGAACTTGTCCACATTTCAAAACACCAACTTTGAAGAGCTAAAAAAAGAATTTCCAAGTAATAAATGAAATTGACATTCACCTTCGTAATGACGCTATGCATGTCTTTATTATCCATGCCATCTAACTTTGCCAGCACATCCATAAATTCATCTCGCATTTTAGCAGGTGTTTTCTTATCCTGAAAATTTGAGCCATTTACTACTACAGTTCTGGATAGTTAACCAGAAGTTGTTAAAAATCTACTTTTAAACAAGAATAAAGAAAAGCTAATATATTATAAACGGTAGCGTTTGAAAAACCTAAAAAATAAGACGTAAAGCAGTGTACTCGAAGTAGCTTTTCAATGTGGTTCTTTATTAAATGATCTGCTCTAAAACACTCCCCAGTCTTTAAGTCTTTCACCATCCAGTCAGAGAATCTATCTACATGTCCAGAAGCCCTAAAAACTAAATAAGTTCAATAACCTATAAATACTAAGAAGTAAAACTCCACGCAGAAGAACGACCACAGAATGAGTCTACAGAACACTGACTTCAAAACTGGTTCAGGGGTGAGCATCGAACAACCGACTTCTAACATCCCCTCTTCCAAAACAAAATGTCTTCTCCATAACTGTATAAGATTTGCTTTCATGGCACAACCCATGGGCCCAAAATCGTACAAGCCTGTCACTCCTAAAATAAACTAACTAACAGAAAACTTTATTGTCGAGACTTATAGGTCGTACAAGAATGTTTAATTCGATGTGAAGAAAAAACACATATTACAGCGTGAAAAGAAAAGTTTTAGATGTTATTTTACCTCCGTATATCGCAAACGACTGATCGTAAAAGAAGCGCCTTTTAAGCAGATCTTCTAGTTTTACTCGGTCAAACGCAGCATCTGGAGGAGCTAAACTTAACTCGGCTTCTTCCAAAATCCTCTTCCTAGCTTTAAGTTCAATTACAGCCTTATCAATATCTACTTTTGCTCCACCTTCTGCCTTAAGTTTTCTAACTATATCACCGTACTCCTTTACTGCAGCACGAAGAGGGGCTAACTTCTAAAAAAAATGTTAATAAGGAAAGTTAAATAAGTAAGTGAGGTAAACAGCTAGAAGACAATCCTAAGTAGGACGAAACTGCATAATTAGTTGGGGACGAGGGTGATTTCGCTAACCAAAGGTGATTTTATTGATTTTATCATATAAAACTAAAAATCCGCTCTCTGCGCAATACAACTTCTGCAAATTTTAAGCTGCGACTGTTGACCCACTTGTTCTATTTCTGGAGAAGCCATTTCCCGCAAGTATTCAGAAAGCCTAATACGAAAATTCTTCTTATAGGCTGTCGCAGCACCCTTCCAATGAGATCGAAGTTTCCTTCCGCTTGGTAGGACCTCAACCTAAAAAAAAGCATAACGAATTCTTGTAAAGTGAAAACCCCGCTTCATTACAACGTTACAACAACAGGTAGCCTTTCAAAACAGGTGCGTACGGTCGAAGACATAAGACGGAAAGAGGATTCAGATGAAGCCAAATCCCCCAGCAAATTCTGTTTGAAAGCCCGACATTTCATCAAAACGGCCTTCTCTCACTTCTTTTCGACCTCTAATTAAGTATAAGTGAACTAAGAATTTACAATCTACACAAGTTGTGCCTATAAATAGTCACACATTGCAAATACAGAAAGTTCCTCAAAAAGTTAAAACCCCAAAATTACCACTTTAAAAATGTCTGTTCAATCTAATTCTCCCACTCCCTCTCAGACTCATAGAGTAATACAGGGAAATCCAGCAGTGTTGCTACACATTTAACTCTTGGAAACAGATATCACCAGCCGAATTCAATAAAAATAAAATTAATTCACTTTACATGACCTCATTGTAGAATATGTTAGAATTAAATCACCAGCATATCGTAGCAAAACGGTGACAGAATGGTTTTCATAAGTAATAAACAAGCCTAATTTAGAGCATAATAAACCTAATGAGAAAAAATTCAGTCAGGGATCAAGAATTTGAATTATAGGAAAAGGTTATGCGTCAGACGGTTTTCACTAGTTTTAATAGGAGTTCAAGTTTTTAACTAAAATGGGTTTTTAACACTCCATGTTGATTCAGCCACCAAGAGGTTCTGAACAGCTGTCAACAACTAATAATTGAAAAACAAAATAACAGATCAAGAACTTCAAATCCACAATATTTTGGCAAGTCACTGTAGTTACTTCAGTTTCGGATCATATAAACAAAAAATAAGAAGCATGGGAGAGGAAAAACTACTTACTAGAAACAAGCCTGAGAACTAGCACTATTTCACAACAAGGATTAATCTCTAGTTCATCTACTTTGGTTAGGCTTTTCTCATTGGTTGTTAGTCTAAATTCTTCAAAAAACGATATAATAAAAAAAAGTGACCTTGAAAAACTGTTTTGAGAAAGACCGTTGCTGATGAAAACTGGGCAAAGATGATGCAATAAACAGCCCTTGTGGTATGATTTGTCTCAGGCTGGCTCTTATCGATTTCATAAAACGGATCTGGGCGTCCCCTAGATTACCTTGAAAAAAAAAAAAAGCATAACTGAGTAAAGACCAACTTCATTCTTCAGTACTAGGATCTAAAGTTGCATCGAATAAGAGGATACGCTGTACGGCAATGATGCAGTGAAGCAGTGTACCATTACATACAATACGAAAAAAAACAGATGAATACAGTTGAAATTAAAATATAATTTTTAAGCTGAAAAACAGAAGTTTCCCTACCGAATGAAAGCCAATAATTATGTACCAGATGTATATGAGAAAACTTTTTTCAAGTTACAGAAGCGACAGATAAATTAACAGTTCAAATATATTCCTAACAGGCAGTCTATAAAGTGTCCAAAAAGTTTCGTGCAAGACTGTATGTACGCTATGAAATGATGAAGATGAAGTAATTTTGAAGTAAACACGTAGTGGCACAGTAACAAACTGCATTTCATCAAATTCGATGACTCGTCTTCTGTAACAAAAATTCTAAAATTAAATTAATCGTTCAAGTCTTTTTTTTT